TCTATTATGCCTTAAGGCAGATGGCGCAAATGATTTGGTGCTCGACCTAAAATCTAGTAGGGAGCTATATAGTGGGGAAATGGCGAAAGAACGGAGTGAAACGGTCAAAATCCTGCGAAGAAAAAGCCTCCGTTCTCAGTGACTTGTAAATCAATTTTGGACGAGTTTCCCGTAGGCATCTTGCCAATAACCGCTACCGAAGTACGGCTGCATATGTGTACTCATATATCCATGCAGCATCACGGCCGCTTCATACCAATCCCTTCGCTTCATAATTTGCTTAGCAAATGAATCAATACGAGCGTCAGGAACGGTCGTCCATTTGTGGGCGGGCGTTTCGGGTCGGTAAGTTGTGGCTTGATAGGGCCCTTTAAAGGCATCTTCATTGGCATCTTCATTGGAAAAGGCGCTATGCAGCGCCTGCTCAGGGTCGCGGAATTCCGTCCTGCCAGGACGTATTAATCCTGCTCGTCTTGGGGGATTTATCGTGCCAACTGCCTTTAAACAGTGATTCCTTCCATTGCTTGTCAACCTTGTGAAGGGAGCTGAGGACGCCGGAGCAAGAAGGTTTCGTGTCAAGATATGATCATGTCATGTAATGGGGTCAAGCTACCCGTAGAGACAAGTTTTCACGCGAAGCAAAGGTGTTACACAAACTTTAGAAACTGGACACTGAAAGCTAGATAGCGCCGATTTTTTTGGCGGATTTGGGGGCTGTTCGTGATCTTTTGTTCGTGATCTGGAGCGCAAAAGTAAAGGAATTGTTTAAAAACAGTGGGAAGGAATCGCCCAGCACAGCTCATTTCGGCTTTTTCGCTAACGAAATGTACCACTTCATTCCCTCACCCTGCGATAAAACAGATCGTGGATGAGCTTGCTCCTGAAGTGGCGTTGATCTTGGCTCCCGGACTGAGAGATACGCGGCATGTTGCCGCGCCTCGGATCGAAGAGCCCTGTTGGACATCCCCGACTAGCTAAAGGTTCCCCTTAAGCCGCATTTATACACAACGACTTTGAAAAGGATGTCGAATCGCCAGAAAAAGGAAAGCATACTTCTCGATCTGGAGAAGAAGAAAGAAAATTAAAATGAGCGGCATTTCTACAGGTTCTAAATTCTGCATTTCTTTAAATGAACGACTCCCTAGGGGTTAATGTCTAGCCCCCGCCCCTCCTCTGTGATGTTTCGGAAAAACCCCGGAATTTCCGCATTTCTGCAAACTCTGCACTTCTATAAATCGATACGTACATTTTCTTTTTGGGTGGATTTTTCAACTCTTTGAATACATTATTTCGTCAAATCAATAAAGTCGTCGTGTGTGAAGGCGACTTTATCCCTCAACTGTACGCTAAGGCACGATGAAGTATGTAATTTGAAGCTAGGGTACGTAGTAAGGTGGGAATCCCCAGCGAAGTAAATCGCTTTTGGCCGCTGGACGAAGGGGAGGGTGCGGTTCTATTTGCTTTTTAGAAAAAAAAACACCAGTTGCTGACTTTCACTGGTTGTTTCTAAAAAAACCAAAGAAGTGGTAGGAAGCTAGGAAAATTTAGGAAGATGGTACGTAGGATGGCGGGAGGAGGAAGGGGGAAATCGTATCAAAGGAGACGCTTTTGAGAGGACAAGGCGTATCCTGCAGAATTTCATAAGACGGCAGGGTGTGTCTTGTTGAAGTGTGTTCTCCCAAATGTGTACCAGTACAACTTAATGTGAGCTGTCAGCCCTCTCTATCCGCTCTCCTGGCTAGGCAACTTTAGAATTTTCAGAATTTCTGTGGCTACATTCCAGCTTTCGGCACTGTTTACCCTTTACTGCCCCAGTCATCCGAAATCAGGTCAGGCCAGTTCCTGACCGGACTTTTTTCTCCGTGGGCAAAATTTGCTCAGCGAACAAACCTTTGGCTTCGGGCGCATGAGTTATGACGCGCTGAACACGAATATTGCATCGCTTGTTCACGAAAGCCTCCTGGCCGCCCGCACGAGCGGGCGCCGAGCGCCAAAATTACTCGAAAATACACCAGAACTTTCGGACTGAAAACCTGCTCCCAGGTGGTAGTTTTAGCCCAGCTGAACCGACCGAAATATCACTCCGCTCAAACCGAAACCTCCCTAGGCGCCCGCACAACGGACCACGCGTGCGCCACGTCAAATACTCGCCCTACAATCATTGCGCCTTGTGCGCGAGGCGCCAGGCATGGTTTTTGGGACCATGATGCGAATGTGAATCATTCGTGATATTCTGGAGGTCAAACTACCCCAGGAGACAACATTTGAGCAAAATCTGCCCACGGAGAAAAAAGTCGGTCAGGAGCTGGCCTGATTTCGGATGACTGGGGCAGTAAAGGGTAAATAGTGCCCAGCGCTTTCGTATAAATTAAGCGTTTATTCTAATTCTGGAATCGAACCACTTTATTTTATAAGACCTATAACCAGGAAAGGTCCAACGAGGTCAGCCTGGCCAATTTGCAAAATGAGATGCACATGCATTTGTACTGCAACATCTTTACACGCTGAACTCAGAACTGCCTTCAGAATTTGCAGAACGATTCTCTGAGCGGAGTTATTGAGGTTTTTCTTTACTGTTTTTCTTCTTACGGGCGCGCTGGCACCGAAGCGTTGGCACCGGTAGCGCGACTCACAGCGCTCTTCGCGCAAAATAGGTATTCATATTCGTGTTTCCGGGGTCAATCTAACGCGCCTAGAGACCGTCACTTAAGCACTATCACCTGGCTTCTGCCAACACATACTCGAACACAACACTTCCGGACCGGACTATGGATGTCCATGGCTAACTGATGGCTAACATCGATACTGACTGGTGATGACTGGTCATCGAACTGAAATAACTCTTCAGTCATGTCTTTTTGCAAACAACAGTACCTGGCTTACTTGTTTGTGCCGTCTGCATGATTTCCTTCACTATCGGGAGGAAATCCCATTCCGAGACCAGTCATCGATGGTAGGTGAGCTCCAATCTGCTGCTAATTTACCCATGGAATAGCCCACACTTTCCGAATGAGGTCGAAAAATCAGATTCGGCCAGAAACTTGTCCCCAGGGGTAATTTAACGGCCGCTGAACATGAATATGATGATATTTCATTACAAAAACCCTTGTGACACGTGTTACGAGGGGTACAAGCAGAAGCACTCTTTCAGGCCGCAATGGGTCTACACTTTCGAAAAAAACTGATTGCAGGTTCCCTTGTAGGGTAGTGCAGGCGAGCAGAGATGTTAGAAGCTTTGTCGGCTATGTTCTTGGACAAATGCAAAAAAGGAACCTGCCCCAGAACCGATCCTACGACGTCCCGCCTAAGAAACCCGCTCCCTACCCATTGCGCTCTGCTGCCACGTTTCAGCACGATTCCATACGTAAATGTAAAGAGGCTTCAACGTTCCCTCGCGACAGCACGTGAAACGACCATGCGGGGATAAAACCCTTCATAACTCCGTTCAGAGAATCGTTCTGCAAATTTTGAAGACAGTTCTGTGTTCACCTTCCCAAGACGCGTACAATGGTGTGCAGCTCATTGGAAATGGCCGGGCTGACCTGTTGCCCTTTCCTGATAAGTGCAATCCATATCGGAGGGTAAAAAGGGACCTACCGGCACCCGTTTCGCAATCCCTCCCTTATGAATCGATTTGAACCTTGGGAGCCAACCGCCTGCACGCTTACAGCTATGCACTTGACCCTCTCCACCACGAGCAGCACGGATCACCAGTAGATGAATCGGTTTGCTCGATTTCTACGCAATCGCTTCTGTTCGAAATTGAGTGGAACGATTTCGAAATCAGATAGTCATTTTCAATTATTCAAAAGCATACCCCGCGATCCCGAATGCCCCATAAACAGAACCATATTGAGCCGCGCCTGCACGAGGACAAGGCGAAGAGAGGGCATGGTTGGATGAGTTCTCCCTTGTTGGTGTGGTGCCAGCTGTTTCTCCTTATCACCCCACCCTCACCATTCGCATCAAAGAAATCTAGTAGCGGAACAACCGCTTCACCATGGATAGAAATGAAAGTTGGGCGTTGCCGTGGGTACTAGGGGGACCGTGGCTTCGTCGCGAGCAAATCGCACTCGCCTCACGTACTTTGAGTTGCTCAAGTAATAAAACACCCTGCTCGGAACATCCATTCAAAGAAAGCGCTTGCCATCACTTGAACGCGGGACTGCCTGCAGTTGTCAATATTACTAATAGCGATTGGTGAAAAAGGAAAATAAAGCAACTTGGAGACACACGCGTGACAGAAGTCCGCAATGGACACGGCATGCTTGCTGAAATGTCGCCAGAGTTAATGGTGAATGGGCTGCAAGAGGTTGTTTGGCCACACTCTACTCAGCCCTTCCACCAATGACGTTGACGACAACCGCCCGCCCCCACTAATCGTGCCCGCTGCCGTTAATCAGATTTGTAGCGCAGGTGATGGAAGACGAATATCAATGATATTTCTCGAACGAACGTGTTGGAACATGCATTCATAAATCTATTCGCTCCAAGCGCGGAACGTTCCAACTGATAAGGAGTGGAAAAAATTAGATGGGTCAGTCCAATGATCTCGATCGAGACTAAACAGTGAATGAATGGTCAATGGTCGACTGATCTTTTGTGTAGCGCCAAAAACACGTAACTGCGCAACGTAACGCCCTCATTAAACCAGTCATTAATGCATCTATTCTACCAAACGAAGATCACCGCCCCTAGAGGGCGGGAGCTTTGAAGGGCGGGTTTGGAAAAAATCAAAACCCTGTAAATGCTATACCACGACTTCTGGGAATGCAAGGGCGCTACCTGAACCCTAATGAGTAAGGGGAAGTGTGAAGGGTAGCCTAAACCTCTCAGTTTCGCATGAGCCAAAGAAACCTACAACGCCAAGAATCACATGCACATAACAACATGCAAAGTACAACAGAGGAACACAACAACAAATGATAGGGTCACTTGCATTAATAAACTGAAAATGATAAGGCAGGCAAACTGCTCACCTATACACAAACTGTTCTTATCTATCTGGCCTTCCAAAAAGGATCGAACGAATTCAACGGATCATTAGGATCTAGTTGAGGAAGTGGAACGTCACCGCCGCTGCGGATATGCTCATGAAGTTGGCGCTTTTCCAAACGCGCTTTATCTCCAGGACCAAGTTCGAACTTTGTCGGATCCAGGATATCTGACAGTGGTAGTACTCGAGGGGCCTGCAAGATACTCTTTCAAAAAGTGTTCTTATATTGAAAGTACGAAGAGTTTCCCCAAAACAATATCAGTAATCAAACAGAAAAAAAAACACGATAAGCGGCATTTGTACAACGGGGAAACATTTACAAAGTTGAACTGAAAAAAAGAGAGCAGTAAAAAGCTGAAAGAAGGGAGCGGTTCAGCGACGAGGACGGAGGGGGGAGCGGGGGCGGAGGGGGCATTTTGTACTTTCGCTGCTTCATTAGTTTCGATTTAACACTTCTGTGAAACCTGTGAACTCTTGTAAAGCCGGAGCAAGCTTGTCGAGCCACTATGGTGAATGGCGTTGCTGTGGTATTCCATGGCTTTACAAGAGTTGACAGGTATTCTGTGTATACTTTGACTGGAATCTGGTATATCATGGCTTCACAAGATTCCACAGGTCTTCACTTGATCACTCGACACGTCGATGGGAAATGCCCCTCTTCCGTGGCCGAACTGCGTCAAGAAAAGTAAAATCGATGAAGATGTTGGGAATGCTACACTACAATTTTAATCTTTAAAAACATGCTTCCCTATCGATTCTGATGATTAGCATACTGCACATAATATTAGCATAATACGCACATATGTTATCATAAAAATCGATTTGAATCGACAAAAAACATCAAAAAAAACTATTTTGAAGATAGAACTTACCTGTGCTGCAGCTGACGTGGTTGTGGCAGGTGGTTCAATCTTAGAAAAAAAATACATACAACGTTCAAAAGGTCAAAACATACAAAAAACAACTCACGGGTTGTTCAACTGGTGCAGTGGAGGCTTGATGTTGAAAGGGCATCACGGCTGCTGCTGGACGTGGCACTTGAGCATTCGTCTTGAATAAGGAGCATTTCTTGATCAATAGTGAATAGAGAATTTCATAGAAGGAAAGGGCAGGAATTGAAAATTAGCTGAACAGTGTCAATACCTGTGGTGCTTGTGATGAAGGGACTTCTTGCCATTGAGTGGGTTGCGGTGTGGGAGTAGGAGCTGGTATTTGGGGTTGGTTGGGCAGTTGGGCTGCCGGTGGGATGGCGGCGTCCGGTAAGCCATGAATAGCTGACAGCGTTATTGACTCAGCTGACAGTGAGGACGAAGGTGCACATGATCGCAGGAGGTCTGAAATGATAACAGATTACAGAAATCGTTGTAGTCGGTGTCGTTGTTATCGGTGTCAGTAAAGCTAGAAGGGAACTGTCATCATTGAAGGCATGCTCCGACAGAAAACCAGTAAGCCAGACTGGGTCCGCAACTAGAAAAGACGTGCCCTTCCGGCGGCTCGAGAAAGCACAGGAAGCGAATTACAAGCCTGGGGCAATTCGACCCGTGCAAATGTATTAGGTTGGCGGGAAAATTCTGTCACATTTTTCAAATTGGGCTTTCTTTTTATAGAGAGGCGTGTAAGATCAAAATTGTACAGCAATGTTACTGCGGGGTCCTTGCCAGTTTTTGAGCACCTCATGGATGCCATCGCTTCACAATGCAGGGAGGCGCGACGCAAAGTTGGACATCATCTCAATCTTGACTTGAACTCGGGTTATGGATTTTTCGTCCATATAACGATTGAGTACGGGGGAGGTAACTTGCAGTTAGAAGGAGCAATGTCTGTGCTACACCAGTGCAAGGGGAGAGCCATCCAGCTCTATTGCATGAGGTACGGCTCGAACTTTTTTGGACGGAGTGCGCTGCACTATCATGATGAGGGCGGCTGTGCGGACAAATTTTTCCCTCTGATCGACGGTACGCTTTAGATCTCGTAGCTGCTTTGCGTACGCATTGACCGAGGAAGCAGCTTCTTCATCCAGCACTTTTTCATGACCCGC